CAGCACAACCCCCCCCCCCCCCCCCCCCCCCCAAATCCGGTTCAGGGATTACGGGTTTTGGCCCTGCACCTCCGGTGGTGCCCGGATGTGAGAGAGTCTCTGGAACTGGAATTCACCTCCCCCCAACCCTGGAGGCACCGTGCCCGTCTGCCCCCAGCTGAGGGCAGGGTGGGGGCACCTGTGGCTGGGAGCAGTGCTGCTCCTGCCTGGCAGAGGGCACCAGGGACCCTCACAGCTGCTGCCTGGCCCTGCCACTCCCACCATGCAGCTGCCACGGGCACAGAGCAGCACTGTGATGGTTTGATGGCTTTGGCACAGATCCTGCCCTTGGCCAGTCCCCCCTTCTCCCAGCTGAATTCCTGCTCCTGCGCAGAGCTGCCTGTGCACCCTGACACTCCCCAGCACCTCCCCAGGTACCCAGAGCTCAGTTGTGCTGCAGGGGCTCAGGGTGGCTGGGTGGCCTGGCACCTAGGTGCTCTGGCTGATGCGTGCCACAGCTGGATGGTTGGCCCAGGGGACCCCGGGTGACTTGCTGCCATGGAAGCACAGCTCCCCTGTGCCTCCCAGAGCTGGGCCCCAGCTGCACCTGCCTGTACTATGGGCCTCGTGCCGGGCATGGGGGGAGAAGGAAATGGCGCCATCCGGCCCAGGGAGCGAGCAAGGCCGAAGGGAAGAGCGAGGCCAAAGTGCGCCTGGAGCTGGACATAACGCGCACAGGTGCTGGGTGAGCTGCGCGTGCACCCACCCTACCCCCTGGGGCACCGTGCTGTCCTCAAACCTGGCCCTAGCCCCGGGAGCTGACAGCTCTGGGGAGGCTCCTCAGTACCAGCCCCAGCGCCCGTCCAGGCCAGCCCTCTCCCCGCACCTCAGCCAGTCTCCGCATGTGGCAGCGGCTGGCAGTGTGTGCTCCTGGCACCGATGTTCTGCAGCCTCCTCCCCCCAGGTCCCTGTGCCACCCTGCACCCGGTGTCTCTTTAACAGCAGCCCTTGGAGCGTGGTTCGCTGTGCTTGTGTTGCATGCCCTGCTTGCCTGTGGCCTGGCCGTGCTCGCGCCCTTTCCCATCCCCACCGCGCGGTGCTTGTACCCACGCTGCTCTGCACTTCCTCCCTTTGGGGCCACCTGGCAGCAAGTCAAGGGGCTGGAGCTCCCCACCCTTGGCATGCCCAGCGTCCCAGCATGAGCTCCTGGCCCTCTGGGGAGGCCTGCCTGGGATGGACAGGGAGGAGGTGCTGGGACTTGGCCCATCCCACAGGGACACCTGGGGAGGGAGCTCTGCTTTCTGGCCTCTGCTCTTTCTGCTGGGGCCTGTGGGAAGCCTGGGGCTGAGCCTGGATTGTGCCATGGTCCCTGGAAGGACACGGGTCTGTATGTGGGCCTGCTGCCTGGAGGATGAGGCGGGGTCCTGAAGGCTGGGGCGGTTTAGTCGCTGGCCCTCTGGAAGCTGGTGGCTGCTGCCAGTGAGTGGCAATGCCTCCTGGCTTGTGTGCCTTGGCTGCAAGTGCACAGGCTGGGCCCGGCCGGGCTGGGGCTGCATTACAGCCTCACGAGTCCCAGCAGGATTTCACGGGAGCCTCTCGGGTCTGGAGGGGAATGCAGGGGGCTCGGGGTGGAGGGGGCAGGTCCACCCCAGCTCCCACCTGCCTGGCCTCCCCACGAGACTGTGTTGGAGCCGGGGCCCCCAGCTGTGCACTGCCAAGCTGTGGCTGAGGGTCCCTGTATCCTGGCTGCCAAAGCCCTGCTCACATGTGGCTCTGAGCTGAGTGCCACCTGGCCTGGCCTGGGGAAGGGGTGCTTGGAGCCCAGGGGCTGCTCCAGGCCACGTGGCACCATCCAGGCTCAAGTGGGGTGGGAATTGGGGCTGCTGGGGCTGGCTGCCGCTCCCTGTTCCCAGTGGTTGGGTAACGGTGGCAGCAGCCCTTCTGAATGGTTCGCTGACATGGAAGCAGCTATTCTGATTGGGTAACAGATGTGGCAGTAACCATTCTGATTGGGCAATGATGGCAGCAGCCATTCTGATTGGGTAACAGACATGGCTGGCTGCCTTTTTTCCAGCACCGGCCACTTTTTAATTTCTTCCAAAAATAAGGCAATGTGTTTCCTCAGGTGAGGGCGTTGGGACGAGCGTGTGAGCTCTGGGGCACCAGATACACATACACCCTCTCCACGGCCAGGCATGCACATCCATGACACATGCATTCATGCACAAGTGTAGCAATCTCTTATGCAGATCAGTGATGCACGCCTAAATGTGCACGCACGTGCGGTCTGTGTGGCAGGCAGTGTGATGCACTGAGTCTTTGTCTCTCTCTTGCACACATGCCTTTGTATGACAGGAGCACATGCAGGTGTTCATGTGCTGGAGAACCACTGGCTCACGGGTTGGGAATGGACAGCAGTGGAGTGGCCCCATCCAGCCAGCCAGAGCCCCTCTCACCCCACACTGAATTGTCACTTGTGCAGGGTTGCGCTGGCACCTGCCGAGCCAGTCTCACATGGCATTGCTCTGTTTCTTTTACACCCTCATCCTCTCACTCAGCCTGCACACCTGTGCACATGGTCCTGTGCTGCCGTCTCTTGCGTGTGCACACCCAGTCCTGCATGCTTCCCGCAGTCCCACATGTATGCACCTGTGCAGTGCACGCTCTGTCTTTAGCACACAACAGACTCGCTTGTCTCTGGTGCCTCCTGCCACCCGCCTGCTTCACTGTCGCCCCTCCCTCCTGTCCCAACATGCCCTGGGCACCCTGGGGCCTTCTCGCTTTGCTTTCTTGGCCTGAGCCAGCGGCAGGCGACATAAAAGGCAACACGTTTCATGTAATTTCCAGGCCCAGCAAAGTAACCTTGTGCAAGTAGCTAGGAGCCTAGGCCGTGCTGTTCCTTTATCCCCCCAGCTCATCTTCACGCCTACGGCCACAGTCGCCACGGTGCAGCCCGAGAGCGGTGCAGGCCCCACCTCCCAGCCATCCACCACCACTGCTCAGGTGAGAGACCCCCTCGCCCTCCTGCCCAGACCCGCCGAGCAGAGCAGCCAGGGAGAAGCCTGGGTGCCCACAGAGCTGTCGCGCCGTGTTCCCACCAGGTGGCGCCAGGGCCCGTCCGGCGGTGACTGGGGGCAGCAGGGGCTGGGGTGGGTGCCGGGGATGGGCAGAAGGGGCGGGTGCCCTGGGGAGGGCTGAGTGGCTCCAGGGACCTTTCCCTTCTCACCTGCTAGCCCCAAGCCAGCTGTGCTCAGGAGGGGCTGGCCCAGGGCTGTCTGACTGGCGGGGAAGCGTGGGCACTTCTTGTCTCCGTGCCCCATCCCCAGGGTGGCCCCCACAGCAGAGACCACAGCGGCAATGAGCAAGGGCTGCCCCCCTGCCCGGTGCCTCCTCGGGGATCCATGCCTGAAGGCAGTGCTGGCCTGTGCTTCCTCTGAGCTTTCCCCACTCCCTTCCAGGTACAGAATCTGGCCATAAGAACTCAGCAGACAGTAGCACAAGGAGTGGCTTCCTCCCAAGCCCAGCAGCTCCCCACCCTGGCCATGAAGCCAGCGCCAGGCAGCAGCCAGCCAGCCTCCAGCGCTTCTCAGGGCAAGGCCGCGGCTCAGGCACCCACCATGGGCTCCAAAGGAGGCCAGGCTGAGCAGGTGACGGAGCACCTTAAAAAGGGAGACAGCGTGCCCAGCAGCGCTGACAGCCGGGGGCACCCCATGAACCGCACAGTGACGCCGGTGACCAGCCACCCCCTTATTGCCCCAGGTAAGGCACACAACACCCCACGGGGCCCCCTCCCCCCTTGCATGACCACAGCTAGGTGGCTGTGGGTGTCAGGGTGCAGGGTGGTGGAACCACGCCATGCGGGGATGCCACGGTGTCATCGTTGGTAACCGCCAATGCTGGGGTTTTGTGTACCTGGGCTTTGCTGCAAGACAGGGGCCATCATGACTGCAGCAGTGCTTCAGTGCCATGAGCAGGGCCTGAGGGTGGCACCAGGTACTCGTGCAGCTGTGCTGATGATGCAGACCTGTAGGCCCTTACGGTTGCAGGGAGTCATGTGCCAGCTGTCTGCTGCTGCTCCTGGGAGAGCAGCCTGGGCACAGCCACCCTGCCCTGCCAACATCCCCTGGCAGAGCTGCAGTATCAGTGTTGAAGTGAGGCAGAAGGCAGGGCAGAGGCACACCTTGTAGTCTAGCTAAGATACTTGTAGAGCACAAGTTTTTGTGAACTTGAGTTCCCTTCAGCAGACGCTGGGCAAGGGCAGCACGGAGCAGTGTGTGCAGGGGAGTGAGTGACTTGGATATAAACGGTGGGAAAAGGGTGGAGAGAGGGGCATGACTGGTGAGGAGAGGCCGAGGGAACTGGGCTTGTTTAGTCTGGAGAAGAGAAGACTGAGGGGGGATTTAATAGCAGCCGTCAACTCTCTGAATGAAGGTTCAAAGAGGACGGAGCTGGACTGTTCTCAGTGGTGGCAAGAACAAGGAGTTACGGGCTCAAGTTGCAGCAAGGGAAGTTTAGGTTAGATATGAGGAAAAGCTTTCTTACAAGGAGGGTCATGAACGCCTCGTGCCTCCTGAGGCTGAGGGGGCACGGCGACCACCCGCAGGTGGCGGCGGCAGTATCAGTAGCGCGGGGGTGAGCGGTGACTGCCGGCGGCGCCCAGGTTCAGGGGGTGCACTGCCAATCTCGGGGGGTGCACATGCACCCACATGCACTCCCTACGTGTTGCCAATGAGGAGGTGGTGAAGCACTGGTTACCCAAGGGAGGTTGTGGACTCTCCATCCTTGGAGGTGTTTAAGACCTGGCTAGACAAAGCCCTGGCTGGGATGATGGAGTTGGGGCTGGTCCGGCTTAGAGTAGGAGGTTGGACTAGATGTGACCTCCCGAGCTCCCTCCAGCCCTCATCGTCTGTGATTCTGTGATGGTGCTGGGAGAAGCAAACAAGCAAAGAACCATCAGAGCAAAGGATTACAGGAATTAATGCAAGTTTAAGAGCCCGCAGTCACTGTTTAAACTACAGTAACACAGTCCAGATTGCGGGTGACTTGTTGTTCAGCCATTTCCTGTTCAAACTGGTGTTTAACATGTTGCTGCCTGAGAAGAGCCACCCTGAGGTCAGTGCTGGAGCGTCCAGGGAGGGTGGAGTGTCAGAAGCAGGCCTGTGGGTCTTTGTGCAGCTGCTGTCAGAGCCGTGTCCATGCATTGTGTCAGATGGCCCTGTCTGTGGCGCAGACTGCGGGGGGGGCTCTGAGCTGGTGCACAGGCCGTTGGCAGAGGCGCAGGTGAACGAACCTTAAATGTTGTGTTCCTTGTTAGTCGGTCCACTGATGACGTGGTCTGTATTGATGTGGGGACCCAGCAGGCATTTACATCCCCTGCAAGGCCTGATGTCTCGATGGGGATGGGATTCAGGTAGCCTGTTGCTGGAGAGATGTCACGTGAGGCTGGGGGCTGGCTGCCTGTCAGCCAGGATAGGTTTGTCCACTGCGGTTACCATGAGATGGCTGTCCTTTCCTAGGAGGGGTCGGAGGCCATCAGTGATGTCTGTGGTGTTTGAGTTGGGGGCAGGAGGTGACAGCCAGAGGGACCCTCATCCGTGTGCTGGGCTGGTATTGTTGCAGTTTGGAGCGAGCGCTAAGCCTGGCTCCGTGCCTGATGCAGCGATCTCTGCTGGAGGGGACAGACGTATGGATCCATGACCACAGGGTGAAAGAGGAGATGGCTTTACCATGGCTGAACGGCTGCATGGTAATTGCCAGCATCCCCACACTTCCCTGGCAGAGGCGGAGGCATAGCCGCAGCATTGGGGTCGAGTTACGGCTGTTTAACTTCCACTTGCCACTGGCCAAGAGTTCACGCACGTACCTCCTAGCAGGCACAGCTCCTGGGCACTGGGGGCCTTCTGGGCTGTTCTCCCCCAGGACTCGAGCGAGCATGTCCCAGGGCCCCGGCTCCAGGCACCGCTAGAGAGAGGCCTTCGGGGGCTCCGTTCCCAGCTCCACGGTGCCCGAGCTGGCAGGTGGATGCTGCCCTGGAGATGCTGCAGCCTGCGGGACTGGGAGGCTGCCTTTGTTCTCCAGCTAAGGGGTGTTTGGGACCCTGCTCCCTGCAGGGGAGACGGCCCCGATCCCGCTGTCCTCAGCCCTGGCCAGCCCCCCGGGGTCCTTTGTTTGCAGGGCTGGCCCCAGCCGTGGCAAGGTGTGGAGCTGGGGTGTGGTGCATGGCCGGAAGCGTTTCTAGAACAAAAGAGCAGGCCTGTGTCGGCGCCTGTCCAGCCAGGCCGTGATCTGCAGCCGCGGGTGCAGGCTCTGCTGGCAGCCCCCCTGCCCCCCTCCCAGAGGCGGCAGGGCCTGGCAGCCCCTCTTGTGATGTGGTTGTGGGTTGCTATGGAAACAGTGGCCTTTGATATGAAGTATAAATAAATAAGGGTCTGGGCGGAGAAAGCTGCCGCAGCAGCAGGGAGCCGTGGCCGGCGCTGTCGAGGCCCTGCCCAGCTCGCGGTGCTCCGGGCTGCAGGGGCCTGCGCTTCCTGGTGGCAGGTTGCATCTCCTCTCCGCAGCCCGGGTTGTGCTCCTGGCAGCTCAGCCAGGTCCAGCTTCCCCTGGCCGGGGCAGCAGCCCAAGCCATGCTTTGCCCCCGGAGATGCCCAGGAGGAGGCAGTGCAGGGCCTAAGCCGTGGGCAGCAGTGGGCAGGGTCTGGGAGTGCCAGCTGCTTAGGCCATGCTCAGGTGTACCGAGAGCCCGCAAAGGGATCCCTGAGCAACAGATGGCACTCGCTCACTGCCCAGAGCTGTGGGCACAGAGCTGGCCAGCTTGCCCATGGCACGGTGCCTTGCAGACAGATGGGCCTGGCTGCTCGTAGCCAGAGGCCTGGCAGGGTGATTCTTGGGAGATGCTGTCGCCACTGTCATTAATCCTCTGCACCTGGCAGTCTGAGCAAACTCACAAGGCTGGGGAAACTGAGGCATGGAGAGAGGTATGAGTGGGCAGTGACATGGCCTTACATGTTTCCAGGTTTCTAATGACTCGGAAGCAAATGATCCCGAATGCTTATACAGATCGGTAGCCTAGGAGGGAAAGCAGAAGATGGGGTGCTAGGTGCTGTCTGCTTTGGATCGCAACTCATGCTAGGGTAGGGTGAACGGTGTCTGTGCCCGTCTGTGCCCGGCCATCTGCTGAGCCAGGTGAGCAACAAGAAAGAATGTAAATAGAAAGAAGTGAATGATACATAGTGACTGTTTTACAAGGTGCCTCAGAAGCTGCAGCTCCACAGTCCTGTACGCTTATATGTAAATCACGGGGAGGAGGGAGAGTTGACCACGATGCACAGAAACTAGTAGTAGAAAATTGATAAGGGAAGCAAAAGACTGAAGGAGAAACCAAAAGCCAGAAGGGACAGGCAGAGTAAGAGATCGTTAAGGCATATTGAGAGGAGAAGGAACCCAAGCAATCGCACGGTTGTGTTGCTAGGTGCAAACGAGAGACTTGTCTCTCTCACAATCTTACGGACAGAATCATTAAATAGCATTTCTGTTCGGTATTTGGAAAGCAGCCAAGTGATGTAGCAAGGTGATAGGATGATGCTGACATACTGCAGCACCTGGGGAGAACGTTAACCGGCACCTCCTCAAGCGAGACATTTTCAGATCAGCAGTTCTCAGTAACTTGCATCTGAGAGTCCTAAAAGAGCTGGCTGGAGCACTCTGTGGATCATTGCTATTGATTTTCACCATGTGTAAAACACTGGGAAGCTCAGAGGCTGGAAGAAAGCAAATGTGATGTCGGTATTGAAGAAGGGTGAACAGGGCAGGTCTGGATAATGACAGGCCTGTCAACCTGAGATCAGTCAGAGGCAGAGTAATGGAGCAGCTGATGTGGGACACAACTGATGGAGAATTAAAGACAGATAGTATAATTGCAGCAAAGGAACGTGAGGGGATGAAAACCACCGTGCAGTGACAGGCTGGGTTGATGAAGGGAAGTGTTTGACTTGTGTCAGGCACCCGCCTTGGAAACACTTGGCAGTCTGATCAAGAAAGAAGAGCTGCACAGCCATGCTCGCTGTAGCTCATAGTGCTGTGTCTTGAGAACCAGCCAGCTTGCCGTGCAGGGCAAGCGTCTGGTGAACGTGCTTACCAGGGCCCCCAGGGACCAGCTCTTGCCTTGTGCTGCTCCCCACCCTAGCAATGTGGGAAGGACCCATAGTTATCGCTGGCAGAGCTGCAGGCAGATCGCTGGGTGCAACTGGATGTCACCTTTGTGCCACCCTCAGGATGTTTATGGCAGCATGGAGGCCAGGCAAGCAGACATCCCTGCCCCTTGGCGTGCCCTGGATGCCCAGGCTTGCGGCTGTGATGTGCCGGTAGGATTTTGTGCTGCTATTTTTCCAGCTGATAACCATTTAAGGCTTGAGAATTCAGGCAGCCTGGAGCTGCTCACGCTTACCAGCTGCCCAGGAAGACGGGCACTCCTGGGGCGTCAGGGTCCTGATCCTGCAGGCCCTGGGGCATGTGGGACCAGGCCCCAGGAGCACCTGTTTGGGATTCCTTGGACGAGCATCAGGCCTCCGGTGTAGCCCTGGGGCTTGGACCATAATGGGCTGTGGCAGTCCTAGCCCCAGGCCTGGAGCAAGTTTGAGACTCGGGCATGCATCTGAGGAGCATGTGGGATTCCCCAGGCGCTGCTCTGCTGCCAGGGAGCTCCGAGCACTGTCCCGCAGGATCAGGCCCCAGTGCTCCCTGAGCCCATGGGACAGCAGGTGACTTCTGTTTCACCCAGGAAAGTAGGTCAGGATGCATCCCTGCTCAGCAGGGCCCTTCCTCTGGTGACATTCGTTTATGCCCATGGGTTAAAATCATCAAACGTGTGGGCTGGAAGGTACCTCAGGAGGTCACATCTAGTTCAATGACCTGCTCAAAACAGGACCAGCCCCAGCTAAAGCCTCCCAAGCCACCCAAAGAGCAAGAACCCACACTCAGACTTGAACTCACAATCTTTCAGTTGGCAGCTTAGCACCCAGGCCCCTCTGCTCCAGAACAGGGCTGCAGGCTGGGGGTAGATGATGAATGGGCCGGCCCCAGAGTGGCCCAGCTTGCTTGGGAGCTGGCTGGGAGCTGTCTCTTTGGATGCTGCTGATGGTAGCCACACAGCTAAGAACAGGTGTGCAGGCCTTTTCCCCAGGAGACAGGGATTCAGGAATGATGGGGACCAAAAGGGCTCATGCGATTCCTGCCTGCATAAGCAGGAGTCTTGGGCTGTGCAGGCAGGTCCTATTCCCTCTGGGACTGGCCCTGGTGCAGCAACAGCTGGATTCTGGGACCGGGCCTGTGCGCGGTGTGTAGGTGACAACGGGGTGTTTTTCTCCAGGTTCTGCTTCTGTTCAAGCATGGATGAAGCTGGGGAAGCCCTGGGCCTGTTCTGTAGCAGACGCCAGACGGGTGGGTCCTACATGAGCCTTCTGCCCCCCTGACCTGTGACTTCCCAGGTCCGAGGCAGAAGCAGGCCCACGGACCTGCAGTGCTGCAGGTCCCTGCTTCCAGCCCTGGCACCCTGGCTGTGGTTGTCTTCCTCCGCCAGGCCAGGATCCCTGGGCAGGAGAAAAGGGCTACGTGGGAAAAAGGAAAAGGGCACGTATACCCCAGCTCTTTCC